GCAACTTCTCGTGTTCCCCAGGCCACGTCACACATGGGCCACGTCATTCCAGGAGGGACAAGGTACCTCCCACAGCACATGGGTCCTGCAGGCTGGATCCCTGTTTGCTTAACCCTGTATGATGTTTGCTTTTTACACAACAGCAGGGCCTTGTTGACTCACATTGAGCCTGCCTGGCACTGTAGTCATTCCTTCCACTCCACACAATTCCTGTCCAGGTAATGGCCACTCAAGCAGATTATTCCTCCTGCCTGGCTGCAAAATTTAGCACTTGCCCTTATCAGCCACCTTCCTGTTTTACTTTCTCTTCTGATTTCTCCTGTCTGCCAAAGATCATTTTGAAATATGATTCTGTCCAAATTGTGGCTTATCCCATGCAGTTAAAATAAGGAGTGATTCTTTTTGGGCTGCGTTTTCCTCCCTTTGCATAAAAACATTTCCATGTTTTGTGCACTAGATTTATGCTCTCCCTTCCCAAAAGGGCTCTGGGAACCACCAAAGCTCCATTGGTTCTTTTGGTGACTTAGTTGCTGCTCACAAAAAGCCTCCTCCACTTGATCTGCTCCTTCAGCGACCTTACCACAACAGCACTTACCTTTTTCTCCCCCTCTTTGATCACTGACTGTGCTTCTCCAAGGGGTTCCTCTTCTTGACCTTTCAGTCTTCAGCATGTCTACTTGTCACTGATACAAGAAACATCATTCTCTGCTTGCCATTCCTAAAGAAGCTGTTTATTTCCATGTTATTATTCCAGCTGCTGTCACTTCACTGCTAGGCTGATCAGATCATAATTTTGCTTTTGTACCAACCCTCACTGCAGCTCCTCTTGTCCCTTGCAAGAGAAAAAAACCCAATCACTGCCAGATCTCAGGAAATGAAGTGGCTCTCCTTATGAAATTGGTGCTGATTTATGGGAATTATTCTCAAGGCTGGGATGAGGAGTAATCTGTGTACCACTGATTGGGCTAAGCCCTAATGGTGCAAATTACTGGTGTGTATGCATTCCCAGACACCATGATTGATTTTAATGGCTTTTATGCCAATGGCACAGTGTGGGTTGGTGTTGCTGTGGAGATCTTTTAAATCAATTTATTATGCACACCAAAACTCCCTTTCCAGAAGAGCATGTAGTGACAGGTCAACAGGGAATGGCCTTAAGCTGGAAGAAGGTAAGATTAGATTGAATATTAGGAAGAAATTGTTCTCTGTGAGGTGGTGAGGCCCTGGCAGAGGTTGCCCAGAGAAGCTGTGGCTGCCCCATCCCTGGAGGCATTCAAGGTCAGGCTGTTTGGGGCTCTGAGCAACCTGGGATAGTGGAAGGTGTCCCTGCATGTGGAAGGGAGGTTGAAACGAAGACTTTCTTTAAGGTCCCTTCCAACCCAAACCATTCTTCACCTGGCTGCTGCCTTGGTGAAGGAAATTGAATCTTGAGTGCAGAGCTGTGCTGCAATTACAAATCCCTCTAATTTGCCTCACACATTCTGCTCAGATAGTTTCCAGCACACTTGGTGCTGTCACTTGGTCTTACAAGTTTCCTCTGAGGTGTCTGTCTCACATCTCTGAGGATCTGGCACCTCCATCTGTGCTGGCAATTCCCTACCTCGACACGCAGCACCCTGAAGCTGCAGTGGTTGCTGCAAGGCTGGCATTTCTTCAGGCACAACAGCTGACTCAGGGCCTCTCCTCCAGTCCCTCCTGAAAGGCATGAAAGGTATGGATATCCCTCCTTGAATACTCGAGTAGTTTTGCATAAGAAGCATTCACAGAAGTGATACAAAGCTTCTGTGCAATTAACAATCTGTTTAAACCACTAGAAAGCTGTACATGCCTCTGTGAAAAACACATGTTAAAGACAAAAGAAACTCAAAAACTCTTTTTTTTTTCCCCTTCCAGCCAGCAAAGAGGTAACACCTCTTGCTGTTGCAAGCAAAACTGAGCTTCAGAGAAAAACCCATGTTAAGTGAAGTGCCTTTAAATGCCATAACAGTATTTACTGATGGCTCCAGGAAAACACACAAATTCAGTAATAACAAGACATGACCAAACAACTAAAACATGGGAATCAGACATTCAAACAGTCAAAGGTTCCCATCAAATTGTCAAATTAGCAGCAGCAGTTAGAGGACTCCAGCTATTTCAGGAGCCTTTCAATCTGATAACAGATTCTGCTTCTGTAGCTAATGTAGTTAAAATAATAGAAGAATCAGTCTTAAAGGATGCTAAGACATCCTTAACCAGAAAATCTTCAATTAACAAACCAAAACCACCACAGCTACAGCTGCAGTTTGTCAGTGCTTGCACCCCTTCTGTTCCAAATATTGATGGATTTTTGCATTGCTTCCCCTCGTGTGTGCCCTGGCATTCTCTGAGACCCAAATCAAGGGCCAGGCCTTCTTAACATCACCATTTTCGCACTCTGTGCCATCCCATAATTTATCTGCACCAGATGCAAGCCACAATCTTACTCCACATGTTGTTCCAACTGATGTTTTACCAGTGGGGCTAATGGTTACTTGTGCAAATGTCACTTTATAGCACACTTCAGATGTAGTTAACTATGATTTAGAGTAAATAATTGTTCTGTTTAAGAACACTATTTTCTAGTAAACTCTTCTGTAGTAAAGTTAGAATATGGAGGGTAGGGAAAAAACAGTGTCATTTCAATTATAAATTGTATTTTGATGATCCTTGTGGGTCCCTTAAACTCAGAATGACCCTGTCATTCTGTCATTTGTCATTGATTTGGATGTTTCTCTGTAAGTTGTGAATTTTTAACAATGTAATGAGACAGCTGCTTCAGTGTCTCTATTTATGGCAAATATAAAATATCTGGCTCTTCTCTTGATTTGTTTTTAATTTCTCATTGTTTTTCCTGCATTTTTTTTTCATAAATGTCACCCCACATTCTAATCATGGTCTATTTTGACTTTTTAATGCTGAAACTAGTCCCTCAGCTTTAGACCAGTCACATCCAGATGGAAAGTCTTTTCTGTCACTTTTACCACTTGATTAAAACATCCTATTTCTTATTTTCTCCATTTCTACAGCATGCAATATTCTCCAAATGGCTCTATATAATATATACCATGTGCAGATGGAGACATACAGCTGTCTCAACTCCTGCAATGGCCTGAAACACATGGAACACTTCAGGGTGGATCTCATGTCCCAAAATAAACTACCTTGAACTGCTTTTCTCTGTATTGGTACTTTTTATAGGTACAGAAGAAATTGCTGCTTGGACTTTCCAAAGCCACAGGCTGTGCTCTTGAGGACCTTCTCTCTGGCAAGGCCTTTCAGTATCTTCTGCTTTCATACAAGGATTTCTGTGGTTTTTTGGTTTTTTTTTGTTTAACTTTCTGCATAATCTAGAGCAACTTTTTAAGAATTACTGTGGGATAATTTGCATGGAGTGTATTAAATTCACCTGCACCCTGTGTTCTACAACAGTGAGGATGCAGCTGTTGTGACACTGAGCTGTTTCCCAGGTGAATAACTCATTGTCCCATTCTCAGAATGGCCTCAGGCTGAAGGAAGGAAAGGTTTCAACACATATTAGGAAGAAATTCTTTACTGTGAGGGTGATGAGGATCTGTCACAGGTTTCCTGAAGATGTGGCTGCTCCTGAATCCCTGTAAGTGTGTAAGACCAGGCTGGATGTGGCTCTGATCATCCTGGTCCAGTGGAAGGTGTCCCTGCCCATGACAGGGGGTTGGAACATGATTGTCATTAAGGTCCCTTCCAACCCAAACCATTCCATGGCTCACCAGGCTCCCTGCCCTGAGAGGGGAATTTCTAGGGCTGCCTGCACCTCTCTCCCCTGTTGCTGACCTGGGCAATGCCTGCACAACCCCCAGGCCTTTTTGGGGGAGCAGCTGACTGCTGCCCCAGCATGAAGCCCCTCACAGACCCCTCAGATGCAGTGGAAATTCTCCCAAACCAGACAAGCAGCCACTTCCACAGGCTGTGCTGGGGAGCCACTGGCAGCCACATCTGTGTCTCCTCTAGGCCACTGCCCTTGGGGACACGAGTAAAACATCTTCAAAGGTGCCCTGGCAGAGCCCTTTCTCTGGTCACAGGATCAATTAGGTTGGAAAACACCTCTGAGATCAAGTCCAGCCTTTGACTGATCTCACCATGCCAACTAGATTGTGTCTCCTCTAGGCCACTGCGCTTGGGGACATGAGTAAAACATCTTCAAATGTGCCCTGGCAGAGCCCTTTCTCTGGTCAAGGATCAGTTAGGTTGGAAAACACCTCTGAGATCAAGTCCAGCCTTTGACTGATCTCACCATGCCAACTAGACCATGGTGCTGAGTGGCACATCCTGTCTCTTCAGGGACAGTGACTCCACCACCCCCTCAGCAGCCCATTCCAATGCCTAATCCCCTGTTCTGTGAAGAACCTCTTCCTAATGTCCAGCCTAAATCTTCCCTGGTACAGCTCGAGGCCATTTTCTCTTGTCCTGTTGCTGTTTTCCTGGGAGAAGGGGCTGACTCCCACCTGGCTACAGCCTGTCAGGGAGCTGTAGAGAGTGACAAGATCAATCCTGAGCCTCCTTTTCTCCAGGCTAAACACCCCCATCTCCCTCAGCCACTCCTCGAAGGACTCCTGCTCCAGACTCTTCACCACATCCCTTACCCTTGTCTGGACACGCTCCGTCACCCGCTGTCCTCCCTGAATTGAGGCGACCAGAACTGGACACAGCCTCTGGAGGGCCTGTGGGAAACCCTGGCTGTTCCAGCCGGGTTTCCCTCAGCGATCCGGCTGGACATCCCTGGACATCGCCGGACATCATTGGATATCCCCGGACATCCCCGGACATCCCTGGACATCGCCGAACATCCCCGAGCGCTCCGGCCCCGCGCACCGCGCTCCCATTGGCTGGCTCGGAGTCGCCAACGCCCCCGCTCTGACCAATCAGCGCTCGCCGCGCCTCTCCCGCCCCTCCGGGGAGCGGCCGGGGCGGGGCCGGGGCGCGCGGGGGGCGGGGCCGCGGCTCGCGGGCTCCTCTTAAACCCCGCGCATCCTCCGCGCCTTCATCTCCCTCCTCAGCATCATCATCGTCATCACCTTCCTCATCCTCACCCTCCCGCTCCTCACAGGCACCATCCCACCGTCCCCACAGCAGCGGTGTCCTGGGCAGCGTCCGGATCGCGCGGGTGAGGTGGCGCCCGCCGCGGAGGGCGGGGCGGGGGCGCGCATCCCGCTGGCCGCAGGTTGCATCATCCGCGGGAGCGGGGTGCGGGGTGAGAGCCGGGGGGGCCGTGCCCCGCGTCCCAGAGGGCGTGGGGGATGGATGGAGGGCTGCGGGCTGCCCGCAGAGGCTGTGGGGTCCCGCCGGGTGAGGATGTTCCAGAACCGTCTGCGTGCGCTCCCGTGCCATGCGCTCCGGGATGGCTCTGCTGGCGCAGGGAGCGCGGACCCGCTGCCGCACTGTGGTGCCTTCCAGCCTGACCCGTTCTGCGGTTCTGTGCTGGGCTTCTCTCTGTGTTTTGCGGTGCAGGGAGGAGGCGGCAGGGCCAGGGGCAGCCCGGAGCCGCCCCGGCGCTGCTGGCTCCGCTGCGGTGCCCGGACGGGCCCGAGGGTGCCTGCGAGCGCCTCCTCCGAGCCCGCAGCAGAGATGGGCTCTCCGCTTTTCCTGCAGTTCACAAGATGACTTTGTGCCTTTTGGGTCTCTCTCGGGGTTTGGCGGCGGCTCTCCAGCTGCCCTTGGCTCGCTGCCCATTGTTCCCGGTGCCATGAGGTTCTCCTGCAAGGTGTCTTTGGCGAGTCTGGCTGGTGCACTGGACCGTGGAGCTTATTTTTTACATTTCATTTCGTATATCACCCCTCCCCAGTTGCGAGGGATCTGAACTTGAGTAGGACTGAGGGAGCTGTTCGGTAGCCGTGTTATTATAATAATGCTCCCGGTGTCTTGGGGCAGCCGTAGCTTGAGAGGGGAGTGAGTGATTCCTCTGTTCCCGGTTGAGTGTCCCGTCCCGTCTGTATCCCTGCACTCCCAAAGCCTTTGACCACGGAGGTTTTGGAGCGCAGGGCCCCGTTCCAGCAGAGTTGCTCACTCTGTTCACCCTTGCCAGGAGTTTGTTTGCTGATTTGAGGCGGAGAGCTCCCAACGCTTGCGCTGTGGAAAGGCGGAAAAACACCGAGCGTGGAGGCAGGGGGACGTGGGGATCCTGTGTGGGAGAGGAAAGGTTTTTCCTGGGAAGCTGGGACCTGCTCAGAACCTGCTGCTTCTCTTCTGCTCGGATCATCACTGATGGAGTGTGCTGGGTGCCAGTGCACGCCCAGTACTGGGGCGTTTGCACTTGGGATCCTTTTCCAGCCCAGCTGGTGGCCCTGGGTGCCCTGCCGTGCCCTCTGTGTGAGCACCCAGCCTCCCTGAAGCCAGAGCCACCTTCTGACGAGGCGGTGGCATCCAGGGGCAGCAGTGACCCATGTCCTGGAGGGTGCAGGCTCAGGGACTCACCGAGCTGGCGCTGGCAGCAGGGCAGCCTGCCAGGGTGGCTGGCATGGGCTGGCCCCTGGCTACTGGCCTGAGTGACCACGGGAACCCGGCAGACAGCACTGCCGTGCTCCTGGCTGCTCTGGGATCCTGCTAAAAGCTCCACAGGTGCAGCCAGAGTGATGGCAGCTGGTCTTTCCCACAAAAGATGCATCAGCCAAAAGCTGCCTTCCTGCCCAGCTCTCTGCCAGCCTTTATCAGAGCTCCCAGGGCTGGCAAAACTTGTGCAGGAGACGGCATAATGCTGGGGAAGGGTGCTGTGCTTCTGCCTGTCTTGCAGAGCTGGTCAAAAACTGAGAGCAGCTCCCTCCTTTTGTCCTGCTGGGCAGCTTGTTTAATCTCTGAGCATCTGTCACCCTGCCTGGAATCCTCCTCTCCCTGTGCTTGGTGAGCTGGGCAGATGAAGGGCACTGCTGCAGTGTTGGTCCATCTCTGTGTGCTCAGGAGGGGGAACTAGAAGCAGGGAAAGAAATGCTGAAAGCTTCTGACTGCAGCAGGTAAAAACACAGATAAAGCATTCTCTAGTCTTCTCTCTAATGCTGCTAATCTCCTGAACAGGAGATCAGTCTTCACTCAGAAGATTTGTCACATGAGTCCAGGCAGGGTGAACTCAGGAAATGGAGCTGTCAGACACCTGTGGGAGGGCTGCAGGCACAGCTTCCCCTCTCTGGGGGCACAGCAAACTGAACACTCCCCTCTTCCCCCTGCCTGATTTCTAGAATAACAATTGCCACAGCACTGGAAGTTGCTTTGCTGCCAGAGTTTAATCTTTGCAGTGTTACAGAGGTGAGGGCATTAAAGAACTGCCCCTTCCAGAAAGTTCTGAGTGTGCCAGACTGGCGTTTGAGAGTGATCATCGAGAGGATGTGCATGTGTTCACCTGCTCTGTAGGAGAAAATAGAAATAAGACTTTGGATTCGTGAAGGATCTCTTCCTAGAGCCAGATGTTAATTCATTGCCCTGCCACTTCAGAGCACTTGGTATCTCCTGGCACAGGAGGGATGGCTGCTCCTGAGGAGCACACACACACTCACAGAAAAACCACAGCAGCAAAACAACCCAAATGTTTCACTTTCTGCTAATTCTGCTCAGCTGTGGTGTTTCACAGGCTGGGTGGGTGCTGCTGTGTCTGGTTACCTACAGAGATACCCTGTGGTGCTCCGGCTGAGCACAACAACTGTTCTGCACTGGTTTACTTGTACCTGCTTCACATCATCAAGCTTCCCTTTCTCAGGCTGCAGCAGAGTGGAATTCTGTCTCTCATCCCTGCCTGAGCAGTCCCCCGGGGCCATCCCTGTGGTTCAGCTCTCACAGCTGCCTGTCACAGTGCTCCAGGCCAGGCTCACTTGGCTGCTGCACAGGGGATGTTTAAACAGTGCAGTGCATTAGTGCTGATATCACACACTGTGCACAGCCTGGAAACTGCAGCTCCTGACCCAGCTGTGCCCCGAGTTCAGCTCAGGCTGCTCAGGGTTTCACTCACACTGGCTCTCAGTCCTGTTCTTCAGGAGCTGAGAAATAGTTCAGGTCTTGGCTTCCCTGTGGAGATGGACCCGGGGGTGTGAGCCTTGCTCATGAGACTTTCTGGATCTCATCCCTCTGTCCCACTCCCCTTTGTGACTTAGGTTTAAGTGGCTTTGTAAATTCTCTTTCTGATTAATTTTTTTTTTTTTTTTTTTGCCATGTGTGCTATATTCTGCAGATATGATGGCAGGAGCTAGTTAGGCTTTTCTAGTTAGACTCTACCCACACACCCAGCTGGTTATGGGAGTGTTCCCCTTGACAGGAAAATGAAATTCAGGCTGACAGAATTTTTTTTTTCCCTAAAGATGGGCAGCTCTTCCTGCAGCTTATCCCCCTTGGCCTCTGCTGAGCAGTGTTCAGCTGCAGCTACAGAAGCAGAGTTGCCATCCTCTTGTCCTGCTTCCCCAGGAAAAAAATGTTATTTTGGGCCTGTAGGGAGGATCAGGGTGGGGATTTGGGTATCCCAGACCATGTCTGACCCCATTTTGCTGAAGTTGTGTCACCTAGGGCTGTAAGAAATTAATTTTGTTGCTTAAGGTTAGTATTGTTGAGAAGATTTTTAGCTTTTTGGCTCTCTCCTCATTTTTGTTCTGAATTGAAGGCCCATTATTGAGGCTTTGATCAAACATCAAGAATTGCCATTATGAAAATATGAAACAATCTCACAGCTTGTTTGAGGGCATTAAATACAGCTTTTTCTCGGTTTCTGCTGTTCAGTAAACAATGGGAGTTGCTGTCAGTAAATTATTAATTTTTTTGCCTTACAGTAAAGGAAATTAGATGATTTGCTCAGTCCAAAAGGCAGCTTTTTGAGAGCCACATTAATTTCTTTCCTGCAGTCAATACAAAGAACAAATACTGTAAACCTCTTAATTTTTTTTTTTTTTTTTTTTTTTTTTACTGCAATGAGTTTCTTCTTCTTTCATCTCAGTTTTTGGACACTCTTGAAAGACACTGAGAGCTGGTGTTTCAAAGCTTTCAAAGGTCTTGTGCTCTTATTTTATGGTAACTTGGAAACAGAACAAAATTTTCACTTTCCTGTTTCTAAACCCTTGCTGCTTTTCACCTGCATTTTGAAATGATTTGGCCCTTTGGCAGCAAGGCCCCTTTTTAGCTGGACTTTGTCAACATTGTCAGTGTTACCTGTGGCACAGGCAGTCACTGTCTGTGTCCAGGGTTTCGTGCCAGCTCTCTGAGGGACCATGTGCCTCACAGGAGACCTTGAAATTCCTCCTGTATTTTTCCTTTCCCAAAAAAAAAAAAACCCACTAATACTGTGAACTGTGAACCTGAGTATCCTAGAAAGAGAAATGAGGGCTGGGTTTCACTCTGGAACTTGGGAGTAAGCTGATTTCTGGTAGCAAAGACAGGTTGGTGCTGTATTTTGTGTGTTTGTGGGATCTTTGCTTTTTTAGACTGGTGTTTCTCATTCTAACCCTGGTCAGTAGTCTGTGGCAGGTTACAATCCATCTGTGGCAGGTTACAATCCATCTTGGCTCTTGGGCATGCATTAACTGATTAAATAGAATTGTATCATTTTGGTGGCATGGAAATCTTTTTGTCTTGAAGGAAAATTATTTCAAGTCTTAGTCTGGAAAGCTGATTTTTAAAATTTTTTTCCCCCTAGAGGAGAGCAGTTTAAATGCTTTAGGCATTGGAGTGCCCAAGGCAGCAGTGGTTAGTGGCCTGTGTTAACTTCCAGGATCAAATACTAAAGGTCACTGATGCTGTGATCCAGATTTTTTTCCATTTTTCTCACCAGACAATCAACTCTGTGAGATCTTAAATATTTGTGTGCATCTGCCAGGAGGATGAGGCCAGGGACCCTTTCCAGCAAAAATTCAGTAATGGAAAGAGCTGAACCTTGCTGTAAAACAGTGATGAAGAAAACAAATATTAAGGGAAAAAACCCTCATGTTTTCCAGGATTTCAGCCAGATTTTTGTCCTTAGTTGATAGGAAGCAGCCAGGCTGTGTGAACAACTGGTAGGAGAAATGAAGTTACTATTTTGTATTTACTGATTTCTGGAGCTAAAAGCTGCTAGAAGCATGAAGTGTTTGCTGTGTGTGTTTATGCAGCATCACTGAAGCTGTGCATGCAACACTGATTAATTTTGGGTAGGAACTTGTGAGATTTTGCTCTACTTGAGGGTGGAAAGGTCTCTGTTCCTGGGTAAAGTTTTTTCCAAAGTTGTGTACAGGGTCTCCTGGGGACAGCACCATGAAGCCCTTTCACCCTTTGTGTCTCTAGGACTGTATTTCCTGTGAACTGAAGTATTTCCTATTACTTTTTGTGGCTTTCAAGCTCCTGGAGTTGCAGAAGGTCTGATAAAAGATGTTTTGTGATTACTGTGGAGGACAAGGGCAGAGGGAAGATTGAGTAATGCAGGAGGGACAGGGTCAGGGCACCCTCCATCAATCCTGCACAACACTTCTGCTGCATTATTTATTTTTAATCCTGTTTATAGAAGTCACCTTCAACCTTCAATTTGTTTTGCAGCTTCTTCTTTTTTTTTTTTTCCCTATGAAAAAGATCTGTGTTTTGCCCTGTGAGATAGTTTGCCCTGATAGGTTTTTTTTTTTTTTTTTCCCTATGAAAAAGATGTGTGTTTTGCCCTGTGAGAGAGTTTCCTGATAGTTTGGTGTTTTTTTTTTTTTTTTTCCTTCTAACTTGTATGATCTGCACCTTTGAAGAGGATTCCAGTCTTGTGACCCACAGCACTTGTTCTTCTGAAGAAAATCCAGTTTCCTGTGCCACCACCCCCACCAAAAACCATGGAGAAGTTTGTGTCAGAAAGGCCTGTTCCTGTCTCTAAGGTACTCACAGGTCTTTGGGGAATACTCTTTGTCCATCTTTCCATCACCAGGGTTTGGGAGAACAGTCAGATATCCAGCCAATGTGTCCAGTGTGTCTTGTTGTATTGTCCAGCTTCTGGGACTTGTTTCTTAATCAGGCTAAGCAATATTTATTATCAAGACAATTTATTTATTTATTTATATATCTATATATATATATATATATATGGGTATAAAAAAATACTGCCTAAATTAACTGGTTTGTTCCTTACTTGTTATGTCTAAAGGCTGGCTTTCCAAAATGTTGTTTCAGATCATAAAATCTGTTGAAATAAAGAGTTTTTGAAGCAGAAGCCCAAGAGAGCTCTGGAAAGTTCTGGATTTCCACCCCATCCCCCCGCCCCTCCATTCAAGGGATCAATAAATAAAAATAAATAAAATAAACTGAAGGGAATAATGCTGGGAGTACTGGAGCGAAAGTGCAGGCTGAACAAGGGCAGAAATTTCCATTTTTACCAGAAGCTCTTTGGCTGGAGAACTTTCCAGGGAAGGGCCAAGCCCAAGAGGTTTCAAGGCCAGGTTGGACGGGGCTCTGAGCTGGAGGAAGGTGCTGGTGAAACCTTTCTGGAAGAGTTCTCTGTGACCACTCAGCCATGCAGAGTCTTCTGGCAGAGTTTTCTAATCAGTCACCAAGCAGTCTCACTGTGTTCCAGTCTGCTTGGAATGGGGAGGTTTTATTTCAGAGAGTTTAGGTGTGGGTGGGGTGTTTCCCATGAGAGTAGTCCTGTTTTTTTGTGTCTGTGCAGGCTGGTTACAGTGAGCCATGGGTGTTTAAATTATCTTTCTGCAGAGCACTGTGGTGAACCTTTGCTCCCAAACTTGCAGTGCAGGTTCTGGTGTTGGTGATAAGGATTTGGCAAATCAAGATGAAGCTGAAACACTTCCCCATCCTCACAGCACTATGGAAACATCAACTCCTTTTTTAATTATTTTTTTTCCTTTTCTCTTCCTTCTCCATCCTCCAAGAATGAAATCCCTACTCTTCCTTCCCAGAAGAAGCCAGATACAAACTCATGCCCTCATGCACCTGCCAAATATTTGATCTCTGGTGGGGTGGACACTGGGAACTGCAAGGCTAATGAGAAGGAGAGGCAGTGGATCCGCCCTGATACACCCAGCAAATGCACCTGGAAGCTTGGGAAGCCCCTCTCTGCCTCCCCCCATCATCATGCCACCGTGTAAGTGTTGCCTTATTTGCTGATTTTCAGCACAAACCCAGCTCTGATTAATCCATATTTTGGATCAAGGACTTGATGTTGTGAGTTTGTATCCAATGGATATTCCTTTGAACTAAAATAGCTGGAATAACCAGCCTGATAAAGGAGAAATAAAAAGCAGTAAATGCTGTGTGGTTGCTGTGGGACCCTGCTGTGAATACACTGACTTTGTTTGTGTTTGTACCAGGCCAGAGCCTCCGAAGATCCTGCCAAGCATCCTGAATAAAGTTGGCAATACACCTTTGGTGCGGATCAACAAGATTGGGAAGCACTTTGGGCTCAAGTGTGAACTCTGTGAGTCGCTGCAGGCAGAGAACAAACTAACAAACACTGTTCCAGAAACTTGGGTGGGTGGTTGGGGATAGTAGTGCCATATAACCTTGCCACAGGAGTGGAGGTAATGGTGCGGAAAAATTCCTGGTTTTCCTTGGCAAATTTTCTGGATTTTAGGATTTGGTCATCTAAAACATCTTTCAGTTTGTACCTCATGAGAATGAGTCCTGCAGCTTTTCCATTTCTGTAGAAAATGCTACATGTTCTTAGTAGAAAATAATTTTTTAAATTTAAAGAAGTTGTGTGAAGTTTTTGACTGCTTCTCCTATTCAGAGTATTCATCAGTGTGTGCAAAAGGCAGCTCTGCAGTTATCAGTAAAGGTCACTGAAAATGATTAAAGAGGTGACACTGTCAGTGGATGGATTTTTTTTGTTTTGTTGGGATTTTTAACCCAGCCATACTGTAGATACTGACTCTGATCAGAGAAAGGTGGTGAAGGAATTAATGCTGGGAGTTCTGGAGTGAAAGTACAGGCTGAGCACGGGGAGAAACTTCAGTTTGATCAGAACTTTATTGGCTGGGGAACTTACCAGGAAAGGGGAAGGGGCAAGACCAGGCTTTAAGGCCAGGCTGGATGGGGCTTGGAGCAACCTGTTCTGGTGGAAGGTGTCCCTGCCCAGGGCAGGGGCTGGAGCTGGCTGGGCTCTGGAATGCCTTGCAGCCCTGCTGGTTGTGTGTTTGCAGTGGCCAAGTGTGAGTTCTTCAACGCCGGCGGCAGCGTGAAGGACCGCATCAGCCTCAGGATGGTGGAGGATGCTGAGAAGGCTGGGATCCTGAAACCTGGGGACACCATCATAGAGCCAACCTCTGGGAACACAGGTGGGGCATGGAGAGACTCAGGAAAGTGTGGGGGAAATGCTGTGGTGGTTTTCCTGGAAGAGGCAGGTTCGAGATCGCAGCCTGTGCAGGGAGGAAAGGGAATCTCTTCCTGCCTGCCTGGTGCAGGGAGCAGTGCCTCTTCCACCTCACATCAGGAGCAGTTCTGAGCTGTCCTCTGCTGGCCAGAGCAGATGGGAAGGAGTTCTGCTAAACTGCAGAGCCTCTTAGATTTAAAGAAAGGAAGTGCTAGGCCAGACTCATAAGAGTCTTAAGGAATTCAAGTCTGACTGAAATTATTGTGGAAAAAAGCACCCAGAAGACTGGTGTTGATGCCTTGTGCAGGCTGCCCTAGAGCAGAGGCTGGACAGAGCTAAAGAATAAAGCAGGGATTTATCAAAAGGCCTCCATGGATCCACCTTGGGCAGCACAAGAGCCCAGCCAGGGCTGCCCCCAAGATGAACCCAAATGGTCCCAAAATGCACGAGCGCTCACGGGGTCTCTCCCTGGGATCAGCTCTGCTCCATGTGCACATTGCAGTTCAGTGTCCAATTCCAGCTCAGCCCCTGCACTCCCATCCTGCTTGTTTTTCTCTCTCCAGCCCACGCTGTTTGTGCTCTTGGGCTGAGATTTGGATCATTTGTCCTTGGTGCCCAGCTGGAGCAGGAATTGTTTTGTCTCCCTGCTCTGTGCAGAGAGCTCACCATCCCATAATATGAAGCCCAGACCCACACACTGAAGCAGCACAGCATCAGAAAAAATATAAAAGCTCAAACCTGAGGCATCAGAGTGAATCTGGATCTTCCTGTTCTTTCAGTTGGGGAAGTCCCTTGGTTCCTCTGCCAGGTTTGAGGAACAGCCCTTTCCATGCTGGTGCAGGTGAGATGGGAGATGAGCTGCATCCTTACAGCACTGCCTGACAGAGCCCCTGCATGCCTGGATTGTCAGGAGAATCCACCTGGGTCCACATTTCCTCCTTGGAGGACTTGGAGGAAGGAACAATCCCCTTGGGTCAGGGGCCAGGGCAGAGCATTGATGATCTGAGCAGTCTGGAGTTAACTCTGGGCTCCTGTGTCAAAGTTGTTGTAATTGTGTTAAGCTGCTCTACTCATGGAGAGTCAAACACACCTGGAATATTCTCCCTGGAGTCAAATATAAAATGCATAATATAGTTAAATAGAAATAGTTAAATATCTAATGTATTGCCTCCTCTGAAGAGTTCATGGGGTGAGCTACGAGCTGCCCTCCTGCCTGATGTGCTCAGGAGAGGTTCTGGTCCTGCTCCTAAACTCTTCCCTGGACTTCCCCCCACTGCTGCTTTCTGACAGACACAGAGCAGGCAGGTTTTGTTCTGAGCTGATCTGTGAGCAGCTCCCCAGGCTGCAGCAGAAAACTGGGAAGTCACATCTGTTGCTGTTGGCTCAGCAGCTCTGGGGGGGGATCAGGGGATTCTGGGGACATTCAGGGCAGCTGAAGCCTTTGTGAGTGTGGCTGTAGCTCCTGCCTGAACCATGGCCTGGAGTGGAAAATATCCTTGTGTGTTGCATTCCTCCAGTATCCAAGGTCTTCAAGGTCTTACCATGACACCCCTCTCTCTGGGTCAGTACCTGATAAATGATTCTACTTTCCACAGAATCCAAAAGGGCAGAACTGAAGGAGATGCAGGGCAATTACTTCAGAAAGCTGATTTTTTTTTGCCACATAAGAGCAAAGACCAGGGCACACAGCAACCTGAGAGAATTGTTTTTTGCTCTCTACTGCTCAGAACTACTGGGTGTGTTGAACATGAGAGCTAATGTGTTGTATTTTTATCCTCTCTGCATCCCAGTTCTCCCTCAGCCAAAGTCCTGTTTTGATGTTTGCTGCATTTCCAGGTCAGTAGCAGAAAGTACAAAGTACTAGAGTTCAGGTCTCAAAATCCTTTCTTCATCACAGACCATAAGGAAGATCTGGATAACTTCTCTTCAGCCTTTGGCTTTAATGAAGCTGCTGCTGTCTTATTTATTTGTGTATTTGGGCATCCATATTTATCTATAATATACTGAGAAAACTTTCCCTTCCCAATATATTAAACACTACTTGAGTTGTTTGAGGTGTGAGTTATGCTTCTCTTACAGGAACAATTAAAGATTATTAGGGTGGGGTTTTTTTTCTCCCACACAAAAGCAGAGGCAGCTTTGAACAAGCAAGTCTCTGTGTAGGGTGAGCTGCATGTGCTGGTGCCCAGAGGAGCAGGGGAGTGCAGCCTGACCTCTCACACCTCTCGGCCAACCTGATCAGCTCAGCCTGTCCAGCAGAGGTGATCTGAGAGCAGGTGTAAGCCTCTCTTCCACAGGGACAGCACTTCTGAGCCCAGCCCTCAGGTGAGCAGGCAGGGGTCAGGCTGGAGGTAGAGACGTTCGGAGCAGAAATGAGATGTCTGTCTCCAGCAGCCAGGGTGCTTCACTGTGGTAGCAAGCTGACACAGTGTATTAGAACATCAATCACCAACAGCATCTAAATAGTGTATTTTTAGACAGGACTTAGTTTCAGCACATTGCAAATGGGGATTTCTGCAGCAGTGAGTCAAGAGAGGCTCTCCGGACCTTTTGGAGAATCAAAGTGATTCCTCTTGTTTCCTCCAGCTTAAAGCACATTCCTTTCCCAAATTACTTCTGGAAAAATGAAGTGGGTGGGACAGGAGGAAGGTGATGTGCATGTGGTAAAGCCAGCAGTTTGCATAAGCCAAGTTCCCCCACCCTTGGCTAAACTTTCTCTGGGCTGTGAACCTCAAACAAGCATCAGCATCTGTGGACCCAACAGGCAGAAACATTCCCTTTGCCAGCCCTCTGGAGACACTCTGGCGGAAATGTGATGAAAGGCAGGGCATGCCAAAGCTGGCACTGTGGGTTTTGTGCTCTGCTGCTGCTCACTGAGTGCTCTGCTTGCCTTTGCTTGCTTGCAGGGATCGGGCTGGCCCTGGCGGCGGCAGTGAAGGGTTACCGCTGCATCATCGTCATGCCAGAGAAAATGAGCATGGAGAAGGTCAGAGCTGCCTCTGTCTGCAAGAATTTAAAGATAAACATGTTTGCACTCGCAGAGCTCCTGCTGCTGGGGCTTCAGTAAGAGAGGTGCAGGCTCCTGGCCAGGGAAAACTCTGCTGAGGTGCTGTTGCCAGTGCCCAGGGCAATCCAGGCTGGCTGGCCGTGGATAGAAAATGTCTTTAAGACCCATCCCCACAGCACTGCCACTTTGAAAACTCCCATAATTGCTTTAAATACAGACAACCTGAGGTTTGCCTGGCACATTGAAGTGGTTACCTGTGCCCCAGGTGAGCTGTCCCTCCCTGAGCAGAGGGTGAAGGAAGACAGTGCTGAAGATTTTAATATCCTGCAAATATTCTGGCCTTGGGGCTGAGTGTGAAGGGAGCCTGTCGAGGGTGTTTTGGGGTTTTGTGACCACCTTTATTTGCTGCAGGTGGATGTCCTGAGAGCTCTGGGTGCTGAGATTGTGAGGACCCCAACTACAGCCAGATTTGATTCTCCTGAATCTCACGTGGGAGTGGCCTGGAGGTTGAAGAATGAAATCCCCAATGCACACCTCCTGGACCAGGTGAGAGCCAAGCTGGCAGAGGTGCAGGTGTAGCATGGAGGAGGCTCTGGGGTGTTCTGGGTTGTCTGTTCAACACTCTCCATGTGTCTCTGGAGGAGAAGATGCCCCAAATCTGGAGCTGGGGCTGAGCGGTCACCACGTAGGAAAGGAAGTTTTTACAGTCACTAGAGAGCAGCAATGAGCTGGTGTTTGTCAGAAGTACACCACTTACTGTGTCTATTTCCAGTGAGCTGGCAATCCTGTGAGGAAGAATGGACCCAGGGGTCATGTTGGTAGGAGTGCTGTTCCACAGACAGGACTGATTTTGGCATGGGAGGATGCTGGCACCTTCGGACTGCACTTAAATTAGGTCACTTAGGAGGCCTAGCTCCAGATAACACACAGTGCAACGTTCTGCAGAGAGCATGTTTAGGTGTTGTGGGGTTTGGGGATTGTTTGAAATGTTTTTGAACTCGCTCAAAATGTGATTTTTGTACTTCTGATCTGTTTTATGGCTGATGTGCCTTTCAATTTAGTACCGCAATGCCAGCAACCCCCTGACCCACTACGACACCACAGCTGAGGAGATCCTGCAGCAGTGTGATGGTAGGTCTGCTCTACTGCTAAACCCCTTCCAGGAGCCCCTGCTAGTGCCCTGTTCTTATGTGCTTGGAGAAGGAGCCCTCAGATGAGAAAAGCATGGATTTTGATAAAGCAAACCCCATACACGTGCTGTGTGTTGTTAGAGAGTTACTTTATTTCAGTAGTAATAGTAATGATATTTTTTTTTTCATTAAAGAAGACTTCTTTGTTTTTTAGACTTCTCTGCCTGTGAGCTGGTGGAGAAAGCAGTGGTGTTTAAGTTACTTTAAAAAAAAAAACCTCCATAGGTAGACTGGTATGGAATAGGGTCATTCTTTGATCACAAATAGAGAAATAGGTGTTTTAACATTCCCAGAGCAAATACTCCAATACACTGGAAGCATCTTCACTTAGGAGTGAAGATGTGTGCTCCTTGGTGTGCTCCTCAGGAGCACAAGCTGCTCTGTGTCACAGCTGTCACCAGCAGGACCCTGTGGCTCTGCAGGGCTCTCTGCAGTGCTGGCTCTGGGCAGCTGAGCCCCAGGAGGGGCTGAGCTGGGGCAGCAGAGCTTCAGCTGGGCTCATTCCTCAGCTCAGGAGCTGGTTTGGGAGCTGTTGGAGACATTCCCTGTGATGCTGCAGCCACGTGGGCATTTCCATAGGGCACAGAAGGGAGTCCTAAGAAGGCTCTAGACCTGCCTTATTAAACAGTGCAGTTTCTGATTGGACCTTCTGATAAGAAAATCAGCAATTAAATTCATTCACATAAAGGTGAAGACCACGTGGAAATTCTCTTCCTTCCTAAAACTCTGTCTGTTCAGAGGATTTGCCTTGTCTTTCTGTGACAAACTTGGAGTTAAACTGAGTGCACTTTTACAAGCTGCCATCCCACAAACTGAGAGTCCAGATGAGTTCCACATTTAGGCTTCCTGTTTCTGTTTACTTCCCCTTACAGCCCAGGCACTGTTCAGTTACCTCTGCTTGGTGTTATTCTCTTGGCTGCTAAGTAATTGATTTTGTGTGTGAATCGGTGACCTTTTAAAATTCTTTTTTTTTTTTTTTTGCCCAGGCACTGTTCAGTTACCTCTGCTTGGTGTTATTCTCTTGGCTGCTAAGCAATTGATTTTGTGTGTGAATCAGTGACCTTTTAAATTTTTTTTTTTTTTTAATTAACAAAGATGTCATGTGGATGCACCAGAGAAGCTGTAGGTGGTGACACAGGCATGCACTATCATATCCACACTCACTCTGAGTGCTAGTGACCAAAACAGCCTTTTTCACATGAAAATGTGGGAGTAGTTGTGTTAACACTTCTCTCCAGGGATGCCTATCCCATGCTCTTGGCACTCAGTTAATTAACAAACATAATGGGCTGCTCAGTTTAACTCAGAGAATGAATTATCTGTATCAGCAGATAGAGCCACAGGAAAACAGCAGCTGTCAGCTCTGTGGGCCACATCCAGCTGTATCCAAAGTGCCACAGATTGGTGCCTTGCCAGGCCTCTGGGTGGACATTTCAAAACCCTTGCTGGATAAAATGATGATTGAGCAATGCACTTTCAAGGCAGGTCTCACCACAGAGAGTCCTACCCTGCCCTTTTCAGCCACTTTGTGCATTTTTTGTTGAGGAAAGTCCATCCTTAGGAGTGAGCTTTCAATCCATCCTTCTGCTGGAGAGTTCACACTTCTCTCCCTCACCCTTAAACAGGAAAGGTGGACATGGTGGTGGCCACAGCTGGCACAGGAGGGACCATCACTGGCATCTCCAGGAAGCTGAAGGAGAAGTGTCCAGGCTGCAAAGTGAGTGAGAACCCCACTGCTTTTGTCTCTAGTGTCTCCTCAGACTGCTCCCCTTGGCACATCCCATTCCTGTAAGCTGCCCTGGGGAAGCTCTTGGGTGTTCTCAGTTACAAGGTGGTTCTGGCTGCAGAGAGGGTTTCACAGTGTCTGGAATCATCGTGCTCTGGTCCCACAGGTGACCAGAGCTCAGGTTTGGCTCAGCAGATGAACACTGACCCTCAGATCCCTCCGTGGGGTGCCTGGGAATTTTCCTTCTCTGGAAGTTTCTTCTTCTGCTGCTGTGCTCTGCAGCCTTGGGTTTCCTCCCTGGCTGTGCCTTCCCCAGCTGCTCTGGAGCTGCTGAGGGTTTGCCCCGTGGAATTGTCTCTGCACACACCAACCTGTGTGTTTTCCTGTGTGATGTGTGAGATTTCCTCACAGAACTCGGGATCCTGCTTGAATCACAAGAATTTTGCAGGCAGGGAGTGGTAAAGAAAATAAAACTGATCTGCTTGCACTTGGCACAAAAGGAGTTGCCTGTAACAATGCCTGGCATGTGAATGAGGACAACCTTGTCTCAGGGAAACCCTGTTTTCTGGTTAAACCAAGCAAAACCCATGTGTAGAACAAGTGGTGCCATCAGCCTGAGGAGGTGGGATGGGTTTCCAAGGGCAAGAAGCAGCAAAGCCTTTTGCTCCCAGGGGAGGTGAATGGTGCCAGGAGGAAATGAACAGCAGAGCAGGCTGGCTGTGTGCCACCAGCAGCTGTGACAAGGCCAGTGCTCACAGGGGCTGTGCTCTCTGTGTGTCTTGGTGGCCTGAGTGGAAACTGCCTCTCCAGATTATAGGTGTGGATCCTGAAGGCTCCATCCTTGCTGAACCAGAAGAACTGAACAAGACTGACAAGACAATGTATGAAGTGGAAGGAATTGGATATGATTTTGTCCCCACAGTGTTGGATAGATCTGTAAGTCACATTGCTGGGTTTACTGCCCTTTGCCCTCTGCTGGGATGCAGGACTGAGGTTAAAGGCAGAGGAAAACTTGGGGAAGGATTTCTTTGAGCTGAAATGGAAGCAGACAGAACTATTCCTCTTCTTTCCATCAGCATAAAAAGCCCTTGGAAAGCCTTCTGAACTAGCCACATTAGTTTTACAATGCCAGGTCAAAATGCTGTGAGTAGATAAGATTTTCCTACAACATACACTTATTGTTATGCTTAAAAAAACCCCAAAACGCACCTAAAAAAACCAATCATGAAACACACACAATAAAAATAAAACAGACACACAGCAAAGAACACCAACTTACCAATCACAAAAAACCCACAAAACAACAAAACCAAACCTTCCAGCAGAGCATCCCAGCCCCTCCTGGACAAAGTGGTTAAGGCTGTCCTGAGCAGAGCCTGTGTCCCTGGTTTGCCTTCCAGGAGGGGAGGAAGCTGATGCTGTCTGAGGCTGACTCACAGCAGCCTGCTCTCACAGAAGGGTTCCAGTAAGGAGCCTTTTGTGCTGATGTGATCATCTTACCTTGGCAAAAAACCCACTTGGCAGTTGGAGGAGGATGGAAACCCCGGGCTCAGTAGGGCAGCTGTTCCCTCAAAGAGCCAGGGCTGAATCCACACTGGTTGTGCAGTTCCCCTGTCCCTCCCCAGCTAAACAGAGCCTTGTTTCTGTCTCCTGCCCCTTCCCAGGCAGTGGACCAGTGGTACAAGAGCAATGATGAGGAGTCCTTTGCCTTGGCACGGATGATGATCCGCGAGGAGGGGCTGCTGTGTGGTAAGAGCAGGCAGGAGCCCTCTGCCTTCCTCTGAGCAGCCTGTGGGAGGCTGAAGCACATCAGAGACCTCCCTCCACTTCAGATCTTGTCTTCCTCGCTCTGTCCTCCTCTGTTCTGTGTGCTCCTCCCTTCTGATGGCTCTGATGTGGTGTTTTGATGGTTTTGGCCCTGCTGTGTGTTCTGGCAGGGGGCAGCTCGGGCAGTGCCATGTCTGTGGCTGTGAAGGCAGCCAAGGAGCTGAAGGAGGGTCAGCGCTGTGTTGTCATCTGCCCTGACTCCATCAGGAACTACATGTAAGGACCTGCTGCTTTTCTTCTCTAGGAGAGGGGTGAGGGAGTCCCTCAGACCTTGGAACACCCAGTTATCCCAGCAAGGAATGTATTCGGGGCACAAGTTCTGAGCTGTCTAAAAGGGGTCTGGCATGGAGCAGGGATCTTTTCCCCTTTAAATCTCTGATTTCAGTAGATAATCACCACTGGTTAGCATTTCTCACAGCAAAGGCCTTGCTTTCACTGTGTTATTTGTGGGGATCACTGTGGTTATCCCATTCCTGGAAGGGTTCCTGTGCCCACAGCAGGATCCAGTCCTGCAGCAGCAGCAGCCACACTCAGGGTGAGTTTGCAGGTGGAAACATCAGGGCTTTGAGCTGTGCTGAGAACTTTTTCTCCAATCACATTGAAACATACCCCAAAACATGGTATTTTTAGCTGAGTTTCCTTACCCATGTTGCTTCCAGCTCAATATTAGACAGACAGAAGCAGCAGACAAGACACATCCCCATTCCAGGCTGTGTCTCTATGATATTGCAAGGGGCTGATGCAGTTGGAGCTTTGTTTCCTGTGGGATTCCTTTTTGTCCCCGTGAATATTTCTTCTCCATGTCCCTGGCTGCTAAGCTGGGATGGCCAACGAGGTCCTATTTCCAGTTTCACTTTATCTGTTGGTGGCAGTGAGGTGTGAACAGTTGTCTCTGTTTGCTGTCAGATGTTCAACCCCTGCTAATGAGCTTTTCACTTCCTGGTGCTCTGCAGGTCCAAGTTCTTGAGTGACAAATGGATGATTCAGAAAGGGTTCATGAAAGAAGAAGACCTTGGCAACAAACCCTGGTAAGCCAGTCAGATCCGTTTGGATTTCCATCAGTCTATTGAATCGAGTTCATGGCAGCTGCTAATTTAAAGCTCATTTCAATTTACACTTCTCCTTTGATTTAGCTGATCTTCCATGCTATTGTCTTGGTGTACAATTGCAGCTATTAATCAAATTTGCTTTAATTAATTGACGTCCTTCCTTGAGTTGTATGGCAGCAGAAAAAAATGTGGTATTTAATGATTGGTTTTTTCAATGAAAAGTGTTATATCTGGAATTTAAAAAAGCAAAGAGAACATGCAAAGAATCTTTCCAAAATCAGAGTTCTTGAGTGCAAAGCACTGCAGGTCTACACAGCTAGAAGGGAAATCTTCCTAAATTGTTGCCTATAATGACTGTAAACACAGATAGGTCTTTGAGTAGGAGTGCAAAATTTTCTGTATGAGGGATAAATAAAGAAACTGGGGAGATCAGTGCTCTCCACTGACTATCTGTAATTATAGAAAACAGATGAAATGAGGAAAGTGTTTTGATTTTCAAGCCTTCTCACACTTCAGAGACTCTGTGATGTTGGGAATAACACCTGAGAGCCCTGAAGCTTTATTGACTCCGGCTGAATCCTGACTCTCCCTTGCAGCCTTTTGTCATTCCTGTGCTGCTGGAGGCCACTGTGTGTCAAGGGCTGCTTCCGTGTTCTCCATAAAACTTGGGTTTGTTTTTCACTCCCTCCCCAGGTGGTGGAACATCAGCATTCAGGAGCTGAGCCTCTGTGCCCCCCTGACTGTGCTTCCAACTGTTACCTGTGCAAAGACTGTGGAAATTCTCCGGGAGAAGGGATTCGACCAGGTACCAGTTGTTGATGAATCTGGGTATGTCCACATATATCACTCTTCATCCATTTGTATCACTCCCCTCACCAGGTCCTCAGGGATGTCTTTTAAATGCTTGCTGGAAATACAATGTCTTCTCACCCATCCTTTTTCATTTATTAACACAGTTCAGAAGTGTTGCCTTGAACACACCAGTGCTGGGCTTTGTGTTTTCATGCCAGGATTGTCCTGTCCTTCACATGATTCTAATGATTATTATGATATAATTACTCATTGTGTCTCTGCAGGATAATATATTTTCTTTTAATAATACCAGTTGAACTTAAAAAAGCAAAAATTCCTGTTTAAAACAACCGACCCCAAAGGTGCCCATGTCTGTCAGAGCTTTCTTCAGCACACTGTGTTACTGTGCAGTGCTGCAGTGACCCCCATAAACCATGGAATGTTCCTTATCACCCTTCAGCCCTCCTGCAGACAGGCTGAGTATTGAGGAGTTGCTCAATTGTGCTGGCCTGAAGGATGAATTCTTGTAGATAGATCCTCTCAGGGAGAAGGGAAATGACCCCAGCTGGGGTGAGCTTGTCTCTGGCTGTCACACCTTTCAAAAGGACAGAGGAGAGTGTGAAAAAGTGAAGGAGTTTGTGCTTTCCAAAAGCTCTCTGAGGTTGCAGGTAGCTCTCTCCAGCTGCAAGGAGCAGAGATGAAAAGGTCCTGGTGCTCAGAAGGACCTGCAGCACTTTGCTGCCTTGTGTGTGAGTCTCCAGCACCTCTGAGAGCTGTGCTCTGTCTCCTGCAGACACACAGAATCCAAGTGTACCATCAATAATCCTGCATTATTACCATGAAGTAGCTGAACTCACTCCTCCAGGCCGGCTGGGAGTGGATGCTTTTTTCTACAGAAACACCTGAGTCTTCTGTGTTGTTTATCCCTGTCTTGTCTCTCCTTCCCCAGGGTGATTCTGGGCATGGTTACCCTGGGTAACATGCTTTCCTCACTGCTTGCTGGAAAAGTTAAGCCTTCTGATGAGGTCAGAAAAGTAATCTACAAGCAATTTCAACAGGTAGGCAGGTGTATTCTGCAGCTCTTGGTTGCAAGTACTCAAGTAGGTGTGCTAACACTGCACAGGCTGGGTGAGGTTCACCTGGGGCCATGGCAGCAGCTTTTACTGAGCACAGAATTTCCTTTTGAAAACATGGAATGTTTGACTTAGTTTCCACCAGGATTTAAGTTCCAGCACTGTCCCAAAGTGGATTGAGTGCTGTGTTCTGGAAGTGTGTTTAATGCTTCTGTTCAACCCGTGAGCCACCTGAGGGTTCTGGTTCTTTATGGACAAATGTGAATTTATTTTTTCCTCCCCAGACAGATAATCCAGCATCATGGGGAAATGTGGTGCGTAACACAACTGCCTAGTTCATGTTATCCCTCCCTTGCACACTTTGAGACTTTCTGGGGCTGGTGGTGTGGGATGGTTTTCTGGATGCTTTTCTGGGGCTGCTCTGGTGTTGGCTGCCTCAGCCAATTCTCTGCACTTCTGAGGTTGTGGCTCCTGCCATGGGCAGCTTGATGGCTTCTTTAGTAAAGAACAGCTTAACCATTTGTTTTCCCTTTATCTCTGGTATTTTCTTGGTGGAGGTTGGAAGGGGAGTGATACAAGCTGTGGTACTGCTGACATGTTAACAAAAAATGGTTATTTTCCATTTGAATTGATGGGTGAATGGAGAAACGTGGTGGAATGCACATAACCTCAGAAGTGTTGTGGATTTTGCTTCTCTTGCCACTTTAGTCAAGCTGATTTGGCTTGTTTATGAGTGAAACTGGTAAAATGAATCACCTGTGTCACCAAAATCCCTTCTCATATCCTACATGGCTGCATCAAATAAGAGGCTTAGCCTGCAAGCCAGAGCAAAGGTACATTTTGGAAAGATGGGTGTTTTGGCTTTCTTAGGTTGCTCAGAGAGGTTGTGGATTTCCCATCCCTGGAAGTGTTCAAGGCCAGGCTGGATGGGGCTCTGAGCAACCTGGGATAGTGGGAGGTGTCCCTGTCCATGGCAGAGGAGCTGGATGATCCTAAAGGTCCCTTCCACCCCACACCATCCTGTGATTTTATAACATGAGCAGCCTGCTTTGGTAGGATCACCTCAATTATTTTATGTTAATCTCTTAGAATGGAAGCAGAATGGTTAGAGCTTTTTTTTGGAAGTCCCTGATACAGTTGTGCTCTGGGGATGTGAAACACCACTCACAGGATAATTTAACAACCCAAACAAGTGCTAGTGGAGGGAGGAGTGTCCTTGTGGAGCCAGATGTTAGTTCCAGTGGTTTGGCTTCCCAGTCATGTGTAGTGTAGTGCTCACTGCCTAGAGACTTAGTAAACTTAAAAACAAAGCCTACATGTGGGAAAACATGTGGGCAAAATGTTTAAGAACCTTGAATGAACAGGTGAAAACTCTGTGTGGGTTCTGTTAAATTTCCACTGAGCATCTCCAGGCATGTTTGTGCCTTCATGGTTGTCCCAGTGCTGCCAAGGGGCTGCTTGTCCTGGTTATCCGTAGCCTGCCCCAGTCCCTGAAGACAGATTTGGGACTGATGGGTGACTCCATGTGGCAGATTTCCCACCTCCTTCCTTTCCTGGCACCCAAGTTTAAGGATTGGTTCCTATAGCAGGTCTCCTGAGCATGGGCTGCTGGGAATCCTCTGACTCCCAGCATGGAGACAGAGCTCTGTGCTCCAGTGCAGCCCGACTGTTCATGCTGTGGCATTTATTTCTCACAGAGAGGTTTCCCTGCAGTGCAAGACTCTTCTTTGCTGTGAATTCCTTTAATAAAAGGATGTCAGGTGGTGTGTGCTGGGGAGAGTCACCTGGTTAATGGAGCTGCTGCTTCATCTGTTAACTCCTGTTTGAACAGTTTTAGGCATTTTTTTAAATGATTGCAGCAGGTGATTGCTGAAGTGTTTTGGAAATATCTGTATTTTTTCAGAGTTGACACAGGGTGGTTTCTTCTTGAGTCTTAGCAAAGTTGAACTTCACAAAGGAAATGAATTATTAAATCTCAGTTCCTTGATTTGCACCTGAATCCTGTGTTAGCTGGGCAATCTTTCACTCTTATTTTCTTTTATTAATACCAGTTGAATTTAAAAAAAGGTTTTGTTTTTGGCTTCTTTTGGCTTTCCTGCCTTTGCAGATCATATTCACTTCCACAATTATTTGCAACTGATTCATTCACTTTTTCAGTCTTTTTAGACTAAAATCACCAAATATAAAGACTTTTATGATCACTTCTTTTGTTGAGACACATGGAACACTTGACCTTCTTTGATTATTAGCACTTTTCAGTTCTTCATTAAATTCATTATGTTTACAGAACCAGAAGGAATAACTTCATGTAGTGCTTACTGATTTTTTTTGAAATTTGTAATAAAGAAAACTGATCCTTTAAGTTGGCCTTGATTTATTGGTGTTTTCCAGTGCTTCAGGTGGGAGCAGAACACAAATGCTGATGTATTGATTTTAGTTCTGTATGAAGTATATGGGGATTATTGACTGCTAAACACAGAAAGGACTGTTTTATTCAGTTTCTGTAACTCTCTCCTCAGATTAACCTGAAAGACAACTTGGGGAAACTCTCTCACATCCTGGAAATAGACCACTTTGCTCTGGTGGTTCATGAACAAATCCAATGTGAGTACAAAGTGCTGCACCTTGTGAGAGCAAATCTTTGAGTGCTGACAAGCAGCAAGTGAGAGTGTGAATGTGTAAAGTGAGCTTTGAAGAAGCAAAATCCTCATTCTGTGTCTAAATTTTTGCTACTAAGCCTAATTTCCATCCCTGGAGGTGTTCAAGGCCAGGCTGGATGGGGCTTGGAGCAACCTGGTCTAGTGGAAGGTGCCCCCACTTGTGGCAGGGGTGGAACAAGATGATTTTAAGGTCCCTTCCAACCCAAACCATTCTAGGATTAGTAAGACTAAATAAATCTTCAAATCTCAGGTATATCACTCTTATATGTGAATAAGATTTTGTCCTGTTTAATCTTCCTAATAACAGACAACTTTGCAAAGTTAGAAACACTGAGAAATGAGACCGAAAACAGTATTAAGTTGTGCCAGATAAATTTAGCTTCTCAATTGTAACTGCAAAAAGAAAAGCCATCCAATTTGGGGTTGTTCTTGATCATCTCCATAAGGATGTGTTCTTGGTTCTGAGCTGACCATTTATAAACCTGGAGTCTCACTGGAAGCTTGTGAGACTGCTGAGAAGTGAAACAGAGACTGAGTGAACAAAAAGCCCAGGACAGTTCAGCTGGCTGAAAAACCTGAGTGTAGAAGTAGATTAAACATCTCAGTACAGATTTTTGATCTCAGACAGACTTTAGGAACTGGAATTTAGACAATTGGTAAAGGGCCAGAGGTCATGTGGCTCACAATGAGAAAATAACTTGAACCTGTGCTGTCAATGTAGCAAAGATTAAAAGGTTAGTACATTATTTGGCTATAAATGGGGTATTGTGATTTTTATACTGATTCTGTGACTGACAGGGCTTCAGGAAGATGGTTGTGTCCCATTTCCTCCTCAAAATGTAGTTCCATTGGACCATTCAAGTGGCCCCTGGTTCCAGTGGGGTAATGCCACTTGCAGCTGTTTCAAGTAATTAATGTTTGAGGAAAATACACTTTATAACAGGGCCCTTGGTTGGAATTTTTGTGTCAAGAAAAATAAATCCACTGGATCCTTATCCTTCCTTCCATAAAGTTTCAGTGTCCCTTTTGATGAGGAGCCTTTCTGAGCTGAAAATCCTTGCCATTGCTCTGTGACTCTTGGCCAAAGTTGCCTTTGTGTTGCCCCTCTGTGTGCCAGGATCACCCAACATCTCCAGGCTGGTAGAGCTGGGATGGCTCAGCCCCCCATTTTACAAACACTAAAACCAAGCAGGGGAGGGGGGTGTGTTTGTGCCTCCTGGAGCCAGAACTGCCTTTTTTTCCCTGCAGATCACACGGATGGCTCCTCCAGCAAGCGGCAGATGGTGTTTGGCATCGTGACAGCCATCGACCTCCTCAACTTTGTGACCGCGCGCGAGCGGGAGAGGAAATCCAACTAAAGCCAAGCAGCAGCCTGGAGCCTCCTCAGCATTCTGCAGTCTCAAACAAACAATCAGGTTCATGTTTTAAAAAAAATGGGGTTTTTTCTTTTTTTTTTTTTTTTTTGGTTTTTTTTGGTTGTTTTTTTTTTTTTTTCCTTTTTTTTTAATTCTGAAAAGAAGCATCCTCGTGTCAGCTATCCAGCCAAGGTGTCTTGCTGTATTGCCCAGTTTCTGGGACCTTGTTTCTTAATCAGGCTAAGCAATATTTCTTATCAAGACAATTTATTTTTTTACCTATGTATATGTATGTATGTGTAAAAAATGCTGCCTAAATTAACTGGGTTTTTTTTTCCTTACTTGTTATGTCTAAAGGCTGGCTTTCCAAAATGTGGTTTCAGGATTTTAAAATGTGTTGAAATAAAGAGTTACTGAAGAAGAGACCCAAGAGAGCTCTGGAAAGTTCTGGGGATTTTTTCTCCCCCCTGTTTAAGGATGTTAAGTTATATATTACCTGTTGGAGACAAAATTGGGACTGGGGCATGGGGAGAAGAAGGGACGGTTTCCCTTTTTATGGCATCATTGTAAAACAAGAAAAAATCCTCAGGGCTGAAGCTGAGACTTGCTCTGCTCTGCTCTGAGGAGAAGCTGGTTTGAGTAGAAGCTTGGCAGTGAAGTGACAAACATCAGCCAGTGACACTGCTTCACACAGTGCACCAGCTTTCCCTGCCATGACAGACCTACTTTTTTTTCCCCAGTGGTATCCTCATAAGTAAGCACAAGTAGAAAGGTTTAAAAGGTAAGATCAAGCATCTTGCCTGAAGATTTTTTTAAATTCATGCTGTTTCATCTGTTAACTTCCTCTTCCCTCCCCATTTATCCCAGAGTGCCTTTTTTGTGCCTTTTTCAGGAGAGCCAAAGATAATCTGTCAGGAGCTGTGAACTCTTCCCAGTCTTGTTCAGTTGCTCCTTCTCTGTAGTGCCTTATTCCAGGAGAAAAGCCATGCATTGGCCACCCCTTCAGATCTGGGCTATTGCTGAGGGCAAGTGACCCATCCTTACCTTAAACTCTGGTTTGCCATTTAATTCATACACTTCTTTAAGATTTAAGACAGTCTTTCCCAAGGCTCTGGGAAAAAAAAAAAACAACCAAAAAACCTACTATAAATCTAAAAATGTACAACTTCAATAGCAACTGAAAGGTTCTAAAAGGTGGTTAATGTTTTTCTGCCGTTTAGTTGTCACTGCTGCTAGATTTTGGCATTACTTGGAATATTTACTTTACTGGCTTTTATCTGATTTTTTTCCCCCATTTTCCATCTGACCTTTGTTGACAGCAGCAGGGAGGGAGGTGCTTGAGTAGCTGAGGTTTGTCCTTTTTCCTTGTCAAACCTGACCTAACTGAATTCAGCAAGAAATATGAAAATGGTAGAAGGAGGTTCCCAAAGCTGCTTTTCAGAGCAGCACAAGAAGGGAGTTAAAGGTGGGGCGGCAAATTAGCCAGTTATGAAGAAGTGTAAATATTTGAATCTGTTTTTCTGGTTCACTATTCATACATTAATCCCTGTAGTGCCATGAAAACTGGCAGTGTTGTGGGTTGAGGCATAGGGGGTGGTTAGAAATAGTGGGGGACAGGGCATGGGAGTCTAAAGCATCCCAAATAAGCTAGAGGATCCAAAGAAATTCATCTGCTCCCTGGGGTTTGCTAGGAACAGGAGCTGTCTCCTGCTCTGCACTGGCATAGGGAGGAGAAGGCCTTTCTTACCCACATGGTGAGACCAGAGGAACTGGGTAAATAAATGGAGTTGCTGCACAACTGAAAAACTTTCCAGAGCTCTTTCCCATGGCAGGGATGAGGACAGCAAAGAGAAGGGGACAGGGAATGCAGCAGGGCTGAAATTCCTCTGCAAAAGCTTGTGAATGTGATGCTTTTTTGCATGTCTCAGAACCTCATTGCTGGCCTGGTCCTGGTTAGTTGTGGTAGGGCTGATTAAAACTGGGCTTATCTTTGTTTCAAGTGCTCTGAAGACCAAGACAGACACTGCAGTTTGTTCAGTTTTTTACCTGAAATTAAAGGCCAGAGCCTGAACAGAGCTGTATTTTTTTTTCTGAAGTGAGTGCCTGCGTCTCCTGTTTACCTTTGCTGCTTTTGCAAGCACTGACTAAACCTGAAAACTATTTTGCACATGGATATTTTTATCAAAAATTTATGCTGTATTTGTTTGTCACTGTAAGAGATTATCAGTCCTAATGTTGGCTCTGCAAAAATACTTCTTATTTTCTCACCTGAAGACAGCTGTTCAGTAAAATATGTACAATGTTTTGCAAGCAGTTACCAGGCAATGACTTAAGGTTCATTTTCATGTTGTCGTGTCCAATGTTATTTCCCATTTCTTGTGCAAGCTGTGGCTGACTCCAGAACTCTGGCTAGTAGGGGTTCCTCTAAGCAGCCAGATCAACCTCATCTGCCCACCAAGCTCATTTCTGAAAACTTCTGTTTATTACAAATCTCACAAAACAGCTTTTCTTACTGTTTAGTGTCAACTGAGGGAAAGGGAAGACTTCTTATGCTTCAAGGAGCTGGGAAAAACCACCACTGTGAGCTGTATTTATTGCACAGATGTTCACAAATGTACCATACAAAGAGTTCAGTAAAAGCTGTTTTCTGATTGCAGAATGGCTCTGGGTTGTTTTTTTTAATTCCAGTTCAAGCTTGTAAGTGTGTTAAGACTGTAAGATTTTTTTTTTAATGCTAGTTTGAGCTTGTAGGTGTATTAAGACTGTAAGATTGGGGTTTTTTAATGCCGGTTCAAGCTCGTAAGTGTGTTAGACTGTAAGAAATTTGTGCAGAAGACCCCTGGCTGTCAGTGTGAGGCTCTGAAGTTCTTTCTGTGTCTCCAGCATGAGCTCCTTGCTCTCTTGCTGGGTGTTCAGGTGCCTCCCCCCACACACAGTGCTCTGCCCTCAGCTTCATCTTCTTTCCCCCATCCAGCAGCATGGGCTGACTTCATCCTGCACATCCTCCTCATGTGATACCTGAAACGCTGCTGTGCTGGCAGATCCCTGCCTTCCCTTTCCCTCTTGGCAGCCCCCTCAGAGGGGGAAAAGGGATCCTGATGTCCCAGCCCGAGGGCAGCAGGCCAGCATCGCTCCCATGTGTGGAGAGCCCATTTCAGCCAAAGGCCAAAGGCTGCCCAAGCACAGAGAGCTGCAGGAAGTGTGAGGGATCAAGTTCCACCTTGCAGCAGGTTCAGAATCCCCGGTGAGGTAGAGCCGGCTCTACACCAGGCTCTGCTTCCAGCCAGGGCAGCCACTGAGGGCTCAGGGCTCCTCAGCAGCCCCCAGGCTGCAGCTGGGAGCAGGGCACTGCTCAAACCCTGTTTTTGGGACAGCTGAGTCGCAGCCTAATGACAGCCCTGGGACCCAGCTGTCCCCAGCTGAGAGCTGCCCCTCCTCGTGGGTCACCGACAGGAAAATTACTGGGTACAATCAGCTGTGCTGGCTCTGCAGATAAAGGGAGGACTTCAGTCCAGGAAGGTGCCTTATGAAAGCAATAAATTCCCTTTGGGGGAAGAAAAAAATAAAGCACAAACACCACGGCAGGCTCGTGTTGCTGATGGAAGTGCTGCTGGCTTTTGTCACGTGCTGGAGGATGGCGGGTGAGGGCAGAGCCCACAGGGCCTGACTCCAGGGCACTGGGAGCAGCCAACTCACCTGCCACCACCCTGGCCTGTGGAAAAATCCACTTCTGGTTGGGGGAAAGCCAGGTGCTGTTCACGCTGCAGGTTTCACTGCTCTTTCAGGAGCTAAAAACGTGCCATGGCTTCTCTCACACCCGGCCTTGGGGATGTCCCTGCCTGGTCACAAACCCTGCTGGGTTTGTGAGCCCAAACAAACAGGGAAAGGCCTCTGTGGGCACCACCGGGCCTGCATTCCCTGCCACACACACTGCAGGTCCCTGGGGAAGCTGGAGAGCGGGCAGGGATTCACAGTGAGATCCTTCTGGATGCAGCAGGACGCGGGAAGGAGCCGATGTGGCCCGTGGGACAAGCAGAGCAGGTCTGGCAGTGCAGGGTGGGACACACGCTGGGCTGGGAGCTGCTCGTGCCTTCTGCTCCTCCCTGCTCGGCTCTGGAGCCTCCAGCAGCATCCAAGGAAGCTCCTCAGATGTGCTGAACACTCCGTGGGTTGTACTGATGCCTTTTTTTGGGCTGCCTAAAAACAGGCCAGACAAAATTAAGGGAATAAAAAGCAGTTATATTTATTGAAGGGCCTTCAGGGACGTTTAGGGTAGACAAAGCCCCCCCAGGGGCTACACCCAAAATGGACAACGGGTCAAGGATTTTCACACTTTTATAAGTTTGGTCCATTTGCATATTGGGGGTTAATCTTCCATTTACAGCTTCAGGTAATTAAGTCATTGACCCCCAGCTTTATACCCCCCGCATCACTTTTGTTCACACTTTTTGGGGCCTGAGGCAGTGAGGTGTCTTTGATTCCCTGGCCTGGAGAGGAATTGTTGTGTCTGACCAAAATGGGCAAGCAGCAGCTAACACTCTGTATGGAGTTTAGACCGATACACTGAAGAATTGCAGGATTCCAAACATATGAAAATGCAAAAGCTAAAATCCTACTACATCAGTACAAGCAAATGGTGACCTCTCCTGAAACAGGAGGGTGTGATTGGCTGCTCCAAGGCAGTAACAAAAATGTAACTTTTCTAACCTATTCCGGCCTTGGCCTGGGACAGCTGGAATCATTTCAGCTGCCATCATTTTGCACTGCAGTAAGACTTCTACACAAGTGTGTTGAACAGGTAAAAAAGGTATTTTTAAGAGCAAATGACAGCCTCCATTTTTCCCAGTTTACCCTCATTATTCAGATGGCAGGTACCATCACCAGTACTCCAACTCACAGGCCAATTCTGCTCAACCAGAAGCAGTTCGAACCTCATGCCCTCACAGCAAGATGTTTCTTCTCTGCTGGCCAAAAACAAGCCAAGAACCAAGGAAAGCCTGTTCTGCTCTGAATTACTTGCTAAGCCCTCCCAAAACATTGCTAATCCTTCTCCTGTCATCTT